ATCCACTCTCTTTCTCTCTCTCCGTCTGTCTCTCTTCCTCTCGTCGTCTGCCTCCCTAACAGCTAGTTAACAGCGAGCAGCGTGTGCTGTGGCGAAGCGAGCACAGCCACATCTCTGTCACATTCACACTGTTAGGTCCTCATTTAGGGCCTGTGACTGCATGCAGTGGCATGTCAGCATCTGTCAGCTCTGTCAAGTGTGTATGTAGGCTTTTACGCTTCTTAATGTGAAATGCTTGACAGGTTATTACTGCCAAAGTGAAGTCATGAGTGTTGACCGCAGCTGTAACCTAACTTTAACCTGGGAACATTTTGGCATATTGCAGCAGTGCTTTGGCAGGGTGAGACGAGCAAAGTTTTCGATAGCGTACACTCCAACACAGCCTGGCGCGAACGTGACGGCGTCCCGGTGGTGCGGTGTCGGCCGGACACGTACAGATAATGAACTTTGTTTGATTTTTGTGTTGTGTCGATCGTTTGTCTAGGAAATATCTCAGACAAAAGCTCTTGTTGAGAACAGCCTCAAACCAGCCCTCCATCATTACATTCTCTAATATACATGAAGCTGCTGCTAATGGTGTTAGATTACAGAGTGCACACAGCCGCGCTTGTGTGATTTTTTTTTTTAAAAACATTTTCAAACCATCCCTGGAGTTAAATGTAATTCACACACAGAGAGACGACCACACATTTCACCTGTGCACGGGCATGCAGGCACACACACATCTGCTCTCTCTCTCTCCATCTTTCTTTCTCTCTACACCTCAGGGTGCCAGTGCGTGAGTGTGTGTGTGTGTTTGCAGTAAGCTTCGCAAAACGCTGCTTAATAGAGTCCTCCGTTGTGAGTAATGATCCCAGCTCCTTTCTGTTATTCTATGTAGACCAGCGGCTAAAGCTGCTCTGAGGAGGAGGTTTTTTTTTCCTCCCTTCTTTCGCCAAAGCCATAAACTGAGGAGAAATTGCAGTTTAATGAACAGTTGTTTCTCTGCTAATCCGTTCACACAAACGCAACAGCCTTCTTTTTACTCCATGATGGCTGCACTCTCACCTGCAGCGTGTCGTATATTACTGCAGAATTTGGTGCTTGTTTTTACGTAATATATATATATGGAGGTGTAGTGCACATTTCTCTATGGAGAGTATACCACACCAGCTTATCTTTCTGTATCGTTGTTAGTGACACATACTCTATTTCATGGCAGCCACAAACATCAGCTCAGACATGCCAGTGATGCAATAAGGGAGCACGGCTGTACTGCTGTTTCTCTGCTGGGCATTATGAGGTAATCACCCAGAGAGACATGACAAGGGGGAAAAAGTGCAGCACGAGTGCTTCAGGATGAGGTGTGAATGTCAGTGTGTGTGTGCGCTCAATGTATTTGTTTATTTGACTGTTCCTGTCTTGGACTCTGCTGCCTGTCTACAGCACATCCTCTCTCCCCTTTCCCTAACTTTTTCACCAAGTCTTATGTCTGTGTGTGAGAGGGAGAGCTAGACTCTAGACAGACAGAGAGAAAGACAGACAGAGAGACAGACAGACAGACAGACAGACAGAGTTCAAGTGCAGGACTGGACTTGCCACTCACCATATTTACGTCTGAGAGATCACCTTCTGTTTACCTTCCATCTCTCCACCTCAGTCTGTCTGTTTGCGTCTCTGACTGGGAGCTGTTGAAGTTTATTGACACAAAACACACAGATGGTTGATCAATAAGCAATGAAGCGTGAGCCCAAAACGAGGTTCCATGTACTAACTAGTTTCTGGAACGGATATTTTGGCACCTGTTCTTACGACGTCAAACTAAAGTTAAAAGTCAGGGAGGAGAGAAACCAGGTCCTCAGCGTCGGTGGCTGTGAAAAGCTCAACTGAAACAAAGCAACACAAAAACACAACATGTCAGCAAGGTTTACAGTCAGGTATCAGAAAACCAAAAGTCAAATTATTATTATTAAATCAAAACTAATGCTACATTATTTTCATGTGAAAAATAAATACCGTAAGTTCCAGACTATTGAATATAGGAGCATCTGAATATAGGCCACACCCCTCTATAAGCCCCAAGTATCCACGTTGTAATATGGGATATTTACACATAAATATTAAATATTAAATTAATAAATATTAATAAATATTTTCACTTTCAATTAAATAAATGCTTTTATCCGAACAGTGCCTGTAACATGGCTAGTTACACGTTAGCTCTTTCTTGCTTCTGTGCCCCGACTGTGGTTGAAATGCACAGGGGAGAGTGCTCCCGAGCCCAAGCTAACATTAGCTACGGGGCTAACTCCTTGCATTTTGTGCTTGTCCACAGCAGAGGTAAACAGAAACAGGAAAGTTGGGGGCGGGGGGTTATTATCTGCCACACCGAACACAACAGTACACAAACAGCGTCTTAATAGCTTCAGTATAAGCAACTCACGCTTCAACATGACAAGGCCCAAACTACCCTCAACTTTCACTACCGTTTCCTGTTGCGCGCGCACAACGCACATATACGCACACAGTCATTCACAGACAGACATACGCTACTAGTGTAACACAGAGTAGCCTACCATGAAAAGTCATTGATCGCTAGCGATATAAACTTCGCTAGCCCATAAAAATCCATAACTGGTTGTTTAAGCCTCAGGGTTCAAAGCGTGTTGAAAAAGTTGCAGCTTATAAACCGGAAATTACGATACGTAGAATTATTTTCAGCCTTAGAGTCTGAACTCTGACTCAGGCCCTTGACGACAGTCTAGGTTTCTGAGTCTATGTCATAGCGGTGAATGAAAACAGTTTCTGTCTGGTTTGTTCTCAACAGACAGGCAGGAGATACAACAACCACTTATATCTGTTGTCATCTCTAATTGAAGTGAAGAAGTGCTTGTAATTACTTCCAATTTACTTCAAACATTTCTACAAGTTGTACTCTGTGCTATTATAGAGACTCATTACAGGATAAACCAGTTACAGGACATTTTATCATTTCTATTTTTTAATTAAAATATCTTTAAACTTGATTTTAAATTCTGAGATCAAATGTTCAAATTCTTTAAACTTGACTTTAAATTCTGAGATCAAATGTTCAAATTCAGGGGAGAAATGATTGTAAAAATGCTTACTACAGTACAACACTAGCTTACACCAGCTCTGCTGGAATAGTACCACTGATCCAAGGGAGCAGATTCAGCCAAATCCATCCTGGGCCAAAGGCTGAGGTCCAAGGTAGACAGGAATCCAGACCAACTCTGGGGGCAAGTAAAGATAAAGGATTTAATACGTGTTCTCACATCAGTGGTCATTATAGTATAGTTTTATCTTAACCTAATACACAATCTACATGTTGTTGGATTAGGAAACTAAGAAATATTTGGGTTGACCAAGAAAACCTGCAGGTATATATATATATGATTTGATCTTTTTTGACGGTGATATTAAAATACATTTTTAGAAATTGTTCTCAAGCAGAGAGGGAAGAGGAAAAATAATAAGGCTGATGGTTGACAGTGAGGAGGCTGTGTTTGTTCAAATCAGTGCGTGGAAGTGGAGTTACCGATTTATTTACACTTCTTCTCTCATAGCAATCTTGACAACACTGCACATTTTGAGGTGGTTTCATTATTACTTTTCAAAAAAATTACAGTCAACTGAAACTGTAACTTCTACTTAGGTAAGTACTTTGGATAAACAAGTACTTTTTAAGGAGATTTTACACACAACTGTCTTCTGTGGATCAGTGAAAATCTTTAGGAACTTAATGTCAGTAATTTTTCCAATCTTTCTTCTGGATGAACTGACTCCTGTTGAACTGAACCTCAGCTCGCTGGATATGACTGTGGCAGAGTTAGTCATTGACAATAAAGGAAGTTACACACAACTCTCACAGTGTCCAAAACATTCACACACTGGGAGTGAAAGTAGTGTGTGTATTTGTAAGTGTATTTGGAGAAAACCAGGCAAAAACTTGAATTGTGTAAAAGGTTTTTCTCTGAGAATGGTCCCAATGTTTCATGAGTGTTTTTAATCCAACAGTTACCGAACTGATACTTTTCTGCAAATACGATCCACATTTAATGATCAATACAAGTGGTTCTCAAACTATGGTGCAGAGACCATAGGTGGTACTTGGAGTGACTTGAATGGTATGGAACAGAAATCTGTTCTTTTGTGCATTGGCAAAGAAGTACATGTACACAAGCAGTACTCAGCCAGAAAGAATATCAGCGTTACGAGCAGCCTTGCAGACACTCCAGAGGGCAAAGGTAAACCAGCTAACCTGAGCAAAAGGGCAATAATCCTAAAAGCAATAAATATTTTTATAGTATACTTAGCACAACACGGCAGGTATGTGCTGCTGTATTTTAAGGTAGGTATTACTAGAGGTACTGCAACAGCCAAAAATTTTCAGAGGTGGACAGAAAAAAAATAAAATTCTGACCTTTACATAAGACGTGATTATGTTAACAGTGCAACATGAACCATGTACCACAGTAGGTTACATTATATTTGAATATCAGTCCTGGAGAGGGTGAGCGCTGTCCTGAAAAGTGTCTGCTACAGCAAAAAGCCACTCGCTGCAGGCTGCACACAGACTAAGGCTGAGACAGGGAAAGGGAGGGAGCGCGGGCGCTGAAACCAGAGAACGGACCCAGCCCAGCCCGGCTGGCGGCCCACCAACACCACCCCTGCAGCCTCCCTCAAGCCTTAATGTGATCCCTTCTCCAGAAGCCAAACAGAAGAGGAAATGTCAGTCCTCCAGTCAGACAGGAAACCTCCATGCCCAAACATGGAGCTTCCTGTCCTGACAGAGCTCTTCCTGTGGACTATACAAGGACTTTCCTGCCCTCTCTACCTCTCTTTCTTCCCCTTGTTCTTTCTCTGTGTGTCTGTCCCTCTTTCTCTTTCTCTCTCCCACTCTTTTGGCAGGCTGCCCTTTCGGCAAGCTGCCTCAGTGCAATTCCTTTTTCCCTTTTGCCTCCTCGCCTGGCGTAGTTTTTGTGTGAATGTGTGCGCACACAAGTCTGTGTTTACATTACTTTATCCCGGTCAATCCAATTGCAAAATAATATGGCATGTTTCAACATAGCCAAAGTATTTCACCTCCCTGCAGCAGCAGTTCCCACACTTGTTGTACTGACACAAAAAGAATTCTGGGATGACAGACCACTCAGACCCAGTCTTTGATGATAAATGAGGATTGTTCTGACCACAATAGCTGTGGTTCTGTTGCAATATCTGAAACATATCTGTGTAAAATCCATAAGCTGTCAGAG